TTGCCGAATTAAAATAATAGGAATAATTATTGGGGCATTCCACGTTACTCGGTAATTTTTGTCCCGCCCGTCACAATTAAAAATTGTGAGTAAAAACCACAAGTTATAAAATTAATATTTTATAATATTATTTTTATTGTGCTTATAACTTATTAAAAGCATAATAAAACAATATTTTTAAATAAATTTTATAACTTGTAGTTTTTACTCACAATTTTTAATTGTGACGGGTGGGACAAAAATCCCCGAGTAACGTGGAATGACCCTTTTGTAATTATAATACACTCACAGGCAAAAAAATCCATATTCTCCACAAAAATAAATGTATTGAGGTGACCCAAAAACAAAACTGTTCAGAATAGATGTGACTGGATAATTAAATCTTAACTTGCCTGTGAGTGTATTATGATTATAATCATAGTCGAAAATTTATTTTTCTGTTTTCACCATTTCAATCAGAAGAAAAAATTCCACCAATTTAATAATTTAACCGAATTTGTAGCTCCAATAATAATGAAGTTAGCAATGGTGAGCAGATAACTTTCTTAACCCTGTATAGCACGGGGAAAAATTATAAAAAAATGAGAAATAGATTTTAAATAATTAATTGTTTCGACTTTTACTTGATGAAACTCCATGTTAATATTGTTTTATTTTAATATAAACTACACTGTTTAAAAGTTTCACTATTTTATTTAAATATGACAATTGTTTCGCTACACAGTAGCATCTTCAGATCTGAAGATGCTACTATGTAGCGAAACAATTGTCATATTTAAATAAAATAGTGAAACTTTTAAACAGTGTAGTTTATATTAAAATAAAACAATACAAATAGATTTGGTTATGACCTTATTAAATGGTTATAAGGTTTTAAGACAATGAAAGTGAAGGATTAAAAACAAATAATTTAAAAAAAAAATAACAAAAAAGATATATTATTTTGTTTGTTTCCAACCACTGTGATGTGGATTTTGAGTAATTTATTTTTATAAAATTAAAATTATGAAAAAATGTCATTTAACAAAATATTAACTAAAAAATTACATTTTTATTGATTTCAAAAAATAAAAAAAAACTTGTTTTGCTTTATTAGCGCCAACTAGTTTTTATATTTCTGTACTTATCAAAGTATTTTATACAAATTCTTTTTTTTTAATTTGGAATCATCATGAAGTTTTTTTAATTATTATTTAGAAAAATACATCTTAATGTGCCCTAATGGGCCACTACAGATAAATAATATAAATACTGTGTCTAATAATAATATCAATTATAATGTTTTTCAATATTTTCCTTGGTTATATAAAAAATATTTACCCTTAATTTTATGATTTTATACTACTGTAGCTTACTTACATGAATTCAATAAAGGCATTCCAATCTTCACACTCATTCTTAACTTTATTGAAGAAAATCCAAAGGAATGTTAAAAACTGCTTTAAAATTAAAACTTTAGTGTGGGCACTACTTTAAAGTCGAAGTAGGCGTCTACATAAGACCATGTCTACCAAAGAATTATTAAAATGACACTACACGTAATAATAAACAATGTAAGTAAATAAATTTACACGCGTTAAAAATTTCATGGGCATGGGTGGCATCATCCACAATGAGAAAACCGGATACTAAACACTTTAAAATATTTAAAAATAAACATGATTTTTTATTTTGTTAAACCGCTGAAAAACAACTGTAAACATTGGCAGAATTTATTGGTAAAAGTGAGACCAATGTCAGGTTGGCCATGAAACTAGTGATCTATTTTTCATTTGATCGGAATTCAAACGAAATTAAAAAACAAATTGTTGATCGAGCATGGCCATGAGGTTTAATTTTCTTAGCAGATGGTTTCCCATTGGATAAACCATATGTTTGCCATTAGTATGTATATACAGCTATAGCATAAAATGATATCAAATATCTAATACTATTTAAATATAAGGGTTATTCTACAAAAGTTGGGCAAGTTTTGACCTCATTTTGTTTATATATGAAATATACTGTTCCAGACCGAGCCAGTCACTTTTTCAAAAAGTTTATGAAATATCTGTGTTTTCTAAATTTGAATGCAAGGGAAGTGACGAGTATACCAGAGTACTAATTAAATACATAATTTATTGGAAATTATAAGATTTATTGCAACTTTGAGCATATTATAATATATATACATTAAATTTCTTAAAACCAAATAATACCACATATAAGTGGCGGCTGGTGGATTTTGGGTATACCGATATCTCAATTATTAGATATGGGACCCACACCAAATTTATATGAGTTTATAATGACATTAAATAAACAAGTTCTGCGCAAGCAGAATTTAAATTGAAGTTTGCGAAAAAAAGATAACCGAAAAATCGAACATGGAACTGACAATACAAATTTGAGATTATAATTCGGAATTAAGTATTTTACTGATATTTTTTATTATTAGATGCTACCTATCAACAAACCACTATAGCCTTATATAAATTACAATGAAATATATATACGTAAGAAAATAACTACTCACCACAGTACTGAAATTTTGACTGGAACTACAAGTGCATTCACCACAACTTCGCCGCTTGCATTGTTTTCAAGATGACTGTCGTGCAAAGGGCGGGCTCTGTAGGTAATTTTTACCGACACTTGAGTTAAAACGAGGACTTGACGGATTTCGCAGGAATTTAGAATTTTAACAGAACAGAACAGAACTGACGGGTAAAAGTGAGTACAAAGATTATCAATTTTTTAAAAATTGCTATTGTTCGAATCTATGATAAAATATGAAAAATACATTATTTAATGTTTTATAGTTTGTAGTGAAATTGAAAGATTTTAAAATAAAATCACTCAAATATTTGATTCAGAAGTTGTGACACGCCAAGGTACAGATGTTTTAAATATTTATTATGTTTTTCTACAAACGTGCTTTTAAAAAAATACATTAAAATTGGGTGGACAAGTGAAGAAAACCTGGATATTTTGTAATATACTAAAATATTTACAAAAAATATTAAAATACCCACTGATGACATCAAGTTGTCCAACTTTTGTAGAATCACCCATAAATTAAATTGAGAATTGGTTTGTTTTATCTCCCAAAACCTGAACAGGGAGAACAAGCTGTTTAATGTTTCATTTAAAACTTAATTAATTACTTAGAAGAACTGCATTTTAAAACATATTGCAATAAAGTTTTATGTAGTAAATTCAATTTAACTACATAAAACTTAATTGCAATAAGTTTTAAAGTGCAGAAGTAAGTTAATGAAACTTTAAATGGCTTGTTCTCCCTTTTCAGGTTTTGGGAGATAGAACAAACTAATTCTTAGCCGACGATTTGTCAAATTTTAAATAAACTATAGTTTTATTTATAAATGGTCTCCATGAAAACAATATACAATATTTTTATTATTTTCATAATTTATCAAGAAATACTTTACCCAACGAAAATTATAATTAATAATTATATATTTTATATTTTTTGTAATACATACAGAGGTTGTAAAAAAAAGAGTACTTGACCAAAAAAACAAAAAGACTGACAGTGACAACAATACAATTAAGGTCCATTCACACTAGTATGGATTTCTACAAAATGTGTTTATCATTTTTATTTAATATTCAATTGAAGTTTTTACAAATCTACAAATTTATTATTATTATTATTATTATTATTATTTTTGGTTTTATTCAAATTATGCTGAAAATTTGTTCAGCACCTATTGATCATATGAGCTACCTCAAATCGTTTTTATTGTTGGGGTATTGTTGTTAATTAATAAAATCATTACATTTTTAAATACTGAAATTAAAAATTAAATATAAATTATAAAAAACACATTTTTGTATGAATCCGATAGCTATGAACTATCATAGTGTGAATTAACCTTAATTGTATAGTTGTCACTGTCATTGCAGTGTTTTGATTTTAGGTTAATTTTTCTGACATTCTTTTTAGTTTGTCGCACTCATTCTGCACGCCTGTATGTACATAAGGGTGCTTCAAAAAATATTTTTTTTTTTCGCTCTTACCCTCTCAAATGTTTCTATTTAATATAAAAAAGAATCTCACCAAATATGGGTGTTCCAGCTCAACTCTAAGAGGTCGCTGTTTTTATTTTAGTTTCCCATTTAATTAACATGGGAAAAAATAATTTAATGTTTGGAATTTTATACCTCTGTATCAAAGTAACTTATGGTAAAGATCATTGCAGTTTCTTATATAAAATGTAACGCTCTACAAAAAAGGTCTCTTATTATTTTTCGATAAATTGATTTCTTCTATAGTTATTCGAGGTCAAAGTTTGATTAACATCAAATTTTCTGTTTTTTTTTTAATTTTATGGTACAATTAGCAGACGGGAGGTGAAAGGGGACAAAACAAGGCGGCGGGGGGGGGGGGGGCAAAATGGGGTACGGTTTCTAAATTATTTGAATATATATTGACTCACAAGTTCACGCTTTTAATCGAAAATAATTATTCTGAGCCTGTAGAGCGAGAAAGAGGATGGTACAATTTTGGAAAACTTTTCATGAGCTCATTTTTTGGGTACCCTATTTTGCCCCCCTGCTAATTGTACCATAAAATTTAAAAAAAAATAGAAAATTTGATGTTAATCGAACTTTGACCTCGAATTACTCTAGAAAAAATCAATTTATCGAAAAATAATAAGAGAGCTTTTTTGTAGAGCTTTACATTTTATATAAGAAACTGCAATAAGTTACTTTGATACAGAGGTATAAAATTCCAAACATAAATTTCCCATATTAATTAAATGGGAAACTAAAATAAAAACAGCGACCTCTTAGAGTTGAGCTGGTGATGTTTTTTTTATATTAAATAAAAACATTTGAAAGGGTAAGAGCGAAAAAAAAATTAAATTTTATTTTTTGAAGCACCCTAATGTACATACATAATATACAATTTTTTAATCCAAAAATTATCTTTAATGTAGGTACCTAATTCTTACTAAAAATAATGTTATTAAAACAATTTATTCTGTAGTGATATGGGGGATGTGGATGCAGAAGGGGAGCAACTACCTAAAAGTGGTCCTGAAAATATGTCTGAAAAAGAAATTAAATCTACAACACCATCAGATGCGAACGTAACAGTTAAGGAACTCAAAGTGGAAGCCAGTGCTGACAAAGTAATAATCTAAACAATTGTTAAGACAACGTGTTTTTAAAGATCACAATATTTAATTGTTTGACCTAGAGGTTTTTTGACATTCTAAAGAACCTATTACATTTTTAATTTATTTTTGACATTTTAAAATAAATTAATAAACCTCTAAAATAATTTTTTGACATTTTGGGGTTTTAACATTCTTAAGGAAGTTGGCATATTTTTACAGCAGTACCTTTTTAAATGCTGTAAATTTTATGCAACGACCATTAAATGATGGCTATTAAGGCATGAGCAAAAGAATTATGAGCAGAAGGCGAATGTCATAATGAGTGCGAGTGTGAGCAATTTTTCTACGACTATCATAAGAAAGTAAAAACTTATAAACTATAAAATAAACAATTAATTACTTGTCAAAATTGATCAATATTATCTGTCAATGTCCAAGGCAATAGTTGATATTGACAGAATATTGCGGCGTATCGCATTTCTATTGGTTAAAAATCTGTATAGTCATGAAGAATTTGTATCATAATGGATCTCATTATAGTACATACAGGTAGGAAATGTCTAACAAAGACTTAAAGAATGGGAGTAGAAAACATTTGTTTTGACACTCTTAAATAGGTTTTTTATGAAGTTTTAAAATTTAAATTTGTTTTTGATATTTTAAATACCTGTTTTGATATTTTTTAAAATGTTTCTAAAATTAAATTTAATTAATTCAATTAAATTAATTACTTTAAAATTTACAGACTTCTCTAGAAAAAAAAACATTTTCATTGCACCTTTGTGTTGAATAATAGTATATTGTTCAACGAATGAGAAAGTTGGCCATTTCCATGAGGATGAAATTTATCCGAAGGAAAATGGCCATTTCTCGGGAGCTGGGCACTATACTTTTTCTAATTTTATTAAATAATTAAGTACAATTTTGTACAATTACAACACACAGATAAGATGACAAATTTGTCATTGACATTTATGTCAGTGTCAATTAAATTTTTAAAAAACAATGAAACACCGTATAATCGTCATAGTAATGATAAATAAATACTACCGTGGAGAAAAGGAAAATCTCGTGGTCTCAATAACCCATGGAGAAAGATCAATTTTCTCTAGTTTCAGACTGAATGAAAACGTATAAAAAATTATTTAATATGATCAGAAAATAGTATATTATTATACGAGATATAAGCCTTAATTATTCACGAGGATGAGGTTTGCGTCTCGAGTCGCCGACGAGAGACTTAAATCATCCGAGTGAATAACGCGAATAATCTCGAGTAATACTACACTTTATCTACTACATTAAGTAGATAATTAAATGATTTTCAAAAATAAATAAATACAATCTGACATCTGTCAAATGGTTAACCTAACCTCCCAATTTAAAACGCGATTGGTTCAAATCACAGTGAATATTGAAATCGGACAATCGCTGATGCCTAACAACGTGAATAATGTGTTCATTATTCCCGTTGTGAGGCAGGGAATATAAATGTTTATCATTATGCACGGACAAAACCCAATATTACGCAATAGGAGTAGATAAAAGTGTTTTTCTAATCGTATTAAAGAATGTGTAATTTTTTCCACGAATATTTTAATTGAGAAAGTGACTCATTCTTAAACCGTGTAGAAAATAATGTTCTCCAGAGTTACTGTCCAATGAAACGACAAGATTTTGCTTTTCCGTTGAGAAAGTGTAAGTGAGGTTTATAAAAATTCTTATACAATTACACTAGTTTACAGCCATTTTACCCACCATGTCTCACTATAATTTTATTGTGTAGTTTGGCTCACTAAACGCGAAAATCACACTTAAAATTTTTCTCACGAAAGCGTTTTCGAGATATGAATTTTCAATTGTTTTTTTTTTAATTTTCTTAGGTGTTTTGACGTTTTAGAGTATACTTCGAGTTGTAATTGATCGATTTGACCACTTAAATCAAAGGTAATTGAGCTCTCTACAACTTTCTTTAGTTTTGGTATCGGCTCAGTAGTTCAATACTGGCGATTTTATGAAGTTGAAAGTCCTTTTTTTTTACAAAAATCGAGGTAGAAAATTTACATTTCTTTCTGGGAAGAATAGAAATCGAAATGATAATTCCAGTTTGATTTATTTTACGTATATATTATACTTAAAGGAAAAAAATAAGCTGCTGTTTATAAAAATCCATGGATAAATGGCGAAGTTATGAATTTTTCAGTGGAAGACCAAAATTCAGTTTTTCAAGAATTTTTACGTTTTTTTCATTTTATTAAATTATAAAAAATTTATTATTGAACATTGATTTTTAGTTTAAACATTAAATATTAAAATTAAATTATATATTGAATATTAAACAAGAAATATTGAACATTGAAGAAATTTAAAGTTTTATTTTGTTGTAATAAGCATAGGTTTAAAAAAATTCTGTCTCCTTCTTTGTTTTTTGTTGCTTTTTTATTCCGTTTCTCGTATGAGGGACCAAATGTAATCACCCACCATGGCTGCATCCCAGAAGCCGTGATACCGCCGCTCCATAGCCTTCATTTGCTGGTGAAAACGTTCTCCGTGCTCATCACTTATGTCGCCCAGATTGTGCGGGATATTTACGCATTCAAACTATCTACTTCTTTTACTCATTTTACCCTTTTTATTAACTAAATAAAATCATGATAAAAATACCTTGTTGAAATATCAAAAAATATCAGTAAAATGTCACTATGCCAACACGAGAAACAAAAAAAATTCACGTTTGCGGAGTCATGTCAAATTTAAATTTTGAATAATGTTTTCTGTGAAAAAAGTACGTAAAAAACTCAAAAAATTCCAATCATGCACTTTATTTAGGTTTTCATTTAAGAATAAACATATTACAAAATAAAAAAAATATATATAATAAAAATTTGAATTTTGGTCTTCCACTAAAAAATTCATAACTTCGCCATTTTTTCATGTAATTTTTTCAACATTAGCTTGTTTTTTTTTTGTAAAAATGTGAGCTTCACAAAAATAAATAAATTTTCGACCTCAATTTTTGCCATAAAAACGAATTTTTTAAGTTATTAAAATCGCGAGCGTCAAAATATATAGCGTCAAAATATATAGTATACTTATACTTATCCCATATCAAAAGTATGTAAAAAAAAGTTTTAGAGGGCTCAATTACCTTTAATTTATGGGGCTTGTTTGACCAAATCGATCAATTAGATTTCAAGATATACTCAAAAACGTCAGAACACCTCCGAAAATTGAAAAAAAAAATAATTGAAAATTCATATTTCAAAAACGCTTCCATAAAAAAATTGAGTGTGATTTTCGTGGTTTGAAAGTCAAAATGCATGGGAAAATTATAATGGGATAAGGTGGGCAGAGTTTTTTTTCGATTTTGTAAACTAGTGTTATTACTCAACTTGTATTCGGCTCATATCACAAATTTCATCCTCGTGAAAATGGCCAAGTTTCTCAATCGTTGAACAATATACTATTCCACAATTTTGTATGGGAACTATTATATAGGAGTAATTCCAAATATAAACACCAAATGGGGTGCGCTGCTTGATTTTTTATTTTGATAAAAAAATTGAGGATGATCTTTTAGGTATAAAATATGAAAATCCGTTGCCGTTTTAATTTTTGGATTCTTTACTTTTAATCGGCACCCTTTAGAAATCTGAAATCGTGTCAATTTCTTACTCTCTTATAGTGGTCCTGAACTTTTTTTCTGTGACAAATATTGAAATGATTTTAATTTTTTTTACTGTTCAGTAAGTGTGTTTTCGATATAAATGATTATTATCCAATTAGTTAATCTCACAAAAGAATGGTAAACCACTAAAGATTCATGATAATTTGCCAATTTTTGTGATTTTTGTCTGGCTCCTGTGCCTATTCTACTAAATCTAGAAAGTTTTTTTTTTTCAGGTATCAAGTACTTATACAATAGAAAACGTAACTATTATTTTAAGTTTCTAGACAACCATTTTCTTTATTAAAAAAATTATTGAAACTTGATAATTTTCAAAATTAGCCAATTTTGCCCTCAGAAATCATTATGTTGAGGAAAAAATAAAAATCTGAAACTTTCAGGAAATGTAGTCCCAACCTTCATCTTTTCAGTCTAGTTAGTCTTGTTTTATTATTTTTTTCCATGTAAAAGATATAATAATTTTTTTAATGCAGTTAAGAAGCGATAGTTTTATTTATAATTTAAAATTTAGATGGCTTTGACAATACCCACTAGGTTTACCATTCTTTTATGAGATGAACTAACTAGATAATATAAATTAATATTGAAAACATACTTACTAGGCAGTAAAATAAAATTACAATCATTTCAATAATTGCCACAGAAAAAAGTTTTAGCCTCTTATAGGAGAGTAAGAAAATGACACGATTTCAGGTTTCTAAAGGGTGCCGATTCATTTTTGGTGTTTTCATTTGGATTGACTCATAGGTAATTCTAATTTCTAAAAATCTTGTACTTCTAACCTAACAAATCAACACATTCCTTAGATCATGGAAGGCCACGCAGTCGAGTCTCCTGAACTGGAATACACGAATTCGTACATATTTTCGGTCAACGGAGCACCATCGAGGAGGATCAGGCGTGCCGTGGTGACGGAAAGCAAAGAAGGCTCGATTAATAGTGAGAGCGTGGTGCAGAGGCCGCAGAGTAGCTACAGAAACCCTCTGACGGGAACTGGAGTCAACTCCACCGATGAGATTAGCTACAGGCCTAAGGGAAGGATAAGTGCTAGACAAGGTAGCTATGGTAGATAGAAAGAAAGTAATTACTTTTATCTTCTAACATAATATAATAACGCAGCCCTGAGAAATTATTCATTATTGTATTAGTACAACAATAACTTTAGTTTCCTAGTACAATAGGGAAATACAGCGTGGACAATGAATCGATAAAAAAATATTTTTTTTACCCTATCTCATTCATACTATCATTCATATTAAGTTAGGGTTTTTTAGTTTTTGTTGGAAGATAAAATAGTATATCGATGGTTATTTGACAAAACATCTTAAGCGACAATTTTGTTGTATTACTTTTTATTTTATCAAAGTGTCAGTTACGATAAGCTGCACATGTTAACATAATAGTTATTCCAATTTTGGAATCTAATATTGGTCAGTTTGAATATTTTTATTATTGTAAGCGCCTCTTCTTTTTAATTTGTTACCGATTTATAAAGTAAGCGCCTATATGTTCCTGACAAATAATCGTAAGCAACTTCGAGACATGGCGTTTGCGATTTAACATTGTGTTGCTTACGATAATATTGTGCTCCCGCCTTGATCTATAAAGGCGTTATTCCCGCTCTAAACAGTTTATTCGTGAGTATACCTGCATCGTGGTCATTGCTACCACAATCCACAATGTGGATTGTGATTGCTACCAAGTTTTAAAACAATATTTTATTTGATCAAAAGCTTATAATTCCTTTTTATCATTGCATTATTAATAGTTATCCTAATTATAATTGTTTTTACGTAGTGTGGTTCGTCAAAAGTGTTTTTGTAGTAATTGTATGTTGTTATAACGTTAAATAATTGAACTCAAATTTATAACGGTTAGATGACGGCCAAAAAATTTCGAACGACCTGTCATTTCGTTGATTTCAAAATGTAAAACTGCCTTTATTAACCACTAACCTTACTTTCTGAAAGTTGTCAGTTTGACGTATTTCATTGTTGATTGTGTTGTTTTAAGGTTAGATTCTCTGTCAACTTTTTAAAACTGCTTGTCATCTTGTCAAAAATGTCCCTAAAGGTTGGTTTGCACAGACATTAAGTTCGGGCTCCTTGTGTAGGCTCCATGGGATACTGGTTTGTGAATAAAAATCGTTCGTTTTTTTCAAAGAAAGTTAATGTAGATTTTCATTTTCAAACATTGTTTGGCAAAATATCGTTGGTGATAAAAATTAATTTTTTTGTAATTATTTTTTATTTAATAATAAAAGTAAAAAAATAAATGTCGCTAACAATGTTTTGACAAAAGTAATCATCAAATCTATATTCCACAAAGTACCGTAAATGTAACTTAAGCGACAAGACTATTTTTACATTTCCCTAAAGATGTTCTTATAAAATATCGTATGCCACAAAATTTAATGAAAATTTTAGATTGGATTCGAATTAAATATTTGAATTCTACATTAATAAAATAATGCCTCACCAGTTTTTAGATAAATAACTTTAAAAATAAAGCTCTCTCACAAAAAAATCTCTCCTGTAAAATTTAGGTTTTGTCGCTTACGATGTTTTGTCAAATAACCATTGATATGTTATTCGGAGAAAAAGACTCACTTCTCCTAATGGCAAAATCTACTATTTTAATGTATTTGACAATTTATATAATTTTTTTAATATAAAGGGTGTATCAATAAGAGCGCAAGATTTGAATTTCGCCTCAGTTTGGCAACTATGATGTCAAATCATTAATGACATAACAGATTGATAGAAGACAGATGGGAGTTAGTAAATATGAAATGATGAAAGTTTGATTTCCAAGATTCGTAAAGGGCGTCCAATATTTTTTTAAAATAATGTTTCTAATTCATCTACTTTGAAAAGAATAATCAAAAAATTCGAAAGCACTGCTTCGGTTAGTGATGTGAAACACACGACACGAGCTCGTAGAGGTCGTTCAGAACAAAATATCGCAGCAGTTCGTGAGAGTGTGGCCGAGAGTCCAGAGACGTCGATTCGCCATCGTGCACAAGAATTGGACATTAAAAAAGCCACTTTTCAGCGAATTCTTACTAAAGATTTGCATCTTCATGCCTACAAAGTCCAATTGACTCAACAACTCCAGCAAAAACAGCGAATAGAGTTCACAAATTGGATCCTTGAGCAGCAAGAAGTGAATGCCGATTTTGCAGACAAAATCATTTTCAGTGATGAGGCCCATTTTCACCACTATTTAACACCCTTGGACTTTTGGCTGTGGGGTTATTTGAAGTCACAAGTTTATGCCAACAAGCCCGCCACCATCGAAGCCTTAAAAGCAGAAATTATAATTTCTGCGTCTATAGACGCTCTATCAACGAAATACCGCCACATGTATTCAATAATGTTATTGCAAATTTTGCCAAAAGAATACGCATGTGCCAGTTAAGCCGAGGTGGCCATTTACCAGATGGGTTATTTTATACATAATTTCCAAATGTGTACTTTATAAATCAATAAATATTTAAATGCTTTAATACTTAAAACCATGTTTTATTAAACTTTGAAATCTTGCGCTCTTATTGATACACCCTTTATATTCCAATAGTTATCAACTCCAACAGAGGTGTGCGAGTATTCTTGAATTAACGAATCGAATTAAATATTTTGCCGTCATCTTTCCATTTTTGTATGCCATTTTTGACATTTTTTTTTTATTTTAGCCACCTTTCATCATTTTGTACGTCTGTCCTAACACCTTTTATTTGTCATTTTTGACTTCTGCCATTCTTAATTATAAACATTTCATTACTGATGCCTCGAAAATGCCTTATCTGAAACATTTAATACTGTAGATAAGACATTTTCACTTAATAGCTGCACTAAGAACCTTGTCATTCCAGGGTACCGACCTATTATCAAGGATATACGCTAAAGAAGTAGCTAGTAGCTAGTAGCGCCACCACTCGGCTGTTATCATCGTAACAAAAGTCGTCTAAATTCAAACACCATTTAGCATTATTAAAAGCGTTGATTAAGAATTATTTAAAGTCTCCACTCAACGGTAAAATACCATTATATTATGTTGCCATGAATTCGTAGGAATATTTTGTTGTTTAACATACAGTTGTCGGCGTTTTTTAGAGAACTCAAATATAAAAATGGTTGATTATGTTTGTACAAAAATTATTTTTTACTAATTTCTTAAAAATTTCCAAACTTAAATATAAATTATATTAGGTAAATTTTTCATTAGTTAATTTTGCACCAACAAATGAACTTACCGAATTCGATCCTTTGGCAAAACATGAAAATGCAACGATTTATTTCTTGAATTTTATTTACAATTAAAAACACAATAATTCATCATGATCCCTTGGATAAAATACACACACTATATAAGCATTTAAGCGTTGAATTTCTTAATCAATGATATAAAGAATAATCAATCGAAATCGAGTACTAAACCAGTTTTTTAGTTATTTCCTTAAAGGTAAAAAAAACGTGCGCGATTTAGATGTGCAATTTAACAAAATTTGTCGAGTAAGACTTCTGCCTTCCTCTCTTTTGTGAAAAAACTACCTATTTATTTTAAAATGATGTACAGTTCGTATGCTTTAAATGTATTGTTGACAATTCTTAAATTCGCGCAATGCTTTTGAAGTCCACCAGATGGCGCGCGCGTTGAGAAAACCCGATACTTCTTTAGCGTATATCGGTGTCAGGAAGGCAAAACATGATAACTCACTAATTGAAAACTTTACCTTTAATTTATTAAAAATGTGTGGCATTCCAAAATATATTATTTTTCTTCAATTATAATTATCAATGCTAAAAATATCTTCGTTAAAAAAACATACATATATTATGGTTTTGCCAGTTAATAGAGTAAAAAGAAATAACATATCATGTTTTGCCTTTCTGCCACCAGATAGAGACCGTGTGTTTGACTTCCTCTCCGAATTCTGGACATGGCACACTCAATTTTTGACCGACCAATCACAATACGTTTAATTTGATCTTTGTGGTAAAGGTAAGGTTACGCCATGAGAAAGCACCACCCAGGCCTGTTATCTATAATTTTTATATCACCAGTTGACCTTTGTTTTCTGTAATTTTTGTCATATTTGACACCTATTCTATTCGATTCGAACACTATTCGCACACCATAAAGTCTAGTTAATAAATTTACACTTTTATATTAAAAATAGTATTTTTAGAATAAGACACAATATCCACAAGTAACCACAGTAAAACATATGTTACAAAATGTCATTTATCAGGTCAGATCAAAATTTAAATTAATAATTTTTTCAGCAATTTTTTTAAGTAATAATTTCTAGTGCTAATATAGCAAATTAATGTTTTGTTTTTATAGCTAAATCTCCTGAAAATTCGCCAGTTGCATCAAATTCAGAACTAAAACGACCTAGCAGCAGTTTTAGAAACCCATTGACTGGCACAGGTTTGAATTCTATTGACGAAATAAATCCTAGACCTAGTAACATGAAAGGTAAAATTTAATTAATAATTTTTATTTTGTTATAGTATTTTTTTTAGATGGTAATCCACTTTTGGGAGTAGGATACGATTCAAAACGCGTTATTACAGATCCAGTTCCTAGCGATAAAATACATCCAGCTGGTAAAAACTTTTTATTTTTATAAATACATGAATTAGGGATGGGCGCTTATGGAAAAATAACAAACAATATTTTTCACAGGATATGTTCGCAAAGGAGTTGCCCAGACACCGAACAATCACAGAGTGCCACCTGGTGGATACTCTACTAAGCTTTGGTAGGTAACTAAGAAAAAAAAGTTACATTAAATTTATTGTAGTTTGTGTTTATGGGGATAAACTAGTAAAATATAATATTTACATTGCAAAATGTTATACTAGGTAAATAAATAAAAAATATCAGTACCTACAATAATTGTGTTATTTACTAAGATTATGTATAAAATATTTTTTAATAAATAATGCAAAATATTGCATCAAAAATCATTTGTTTTATTTTTGGGTTTAAATTTAAATAAATTGGCTAATAAAATTTAAATGATTTTTTTATAAAATTTGGCATAGGGTAGAGGTTATAGCGAACTTAAGCAAAAACTTTTTATAAATTGGTTAAATATTCACTGGGCAAATTTAAGAAAGAATTTTTTTTTAATTTAAAAAAAAATAACTTAATAAATATCTAAGGGCCAGTATATTCACCTCCCTTTAAATTTACTAGATGGATAACTGTCATAGTTATCATTGTTGACACAATTGTAACTATGACAATTAAGCATTGGGTAAATTTAGTGGAAGGTTAATATACTGGCCCTTATGGTATAAATAAAACCAAATATCCCTAGATAATCACGTGTTTGTAATCCAGTGTTGCCGGATCTTCTAGAAGCATAAGTGCAAACTAGAAAAAATCTTTAATTTTTTACAATTTTTAATTAAAATACTCTTTATTTTTACTACATTGGCACTACTGAATTTACTGTCACGGCCGAGGGGTCAACCGGGGATTTTCATGTATTCCAATTAGATGTGTAAAAAACGTTTTTTTTTCAGATGTGAAAAAAAACCTAGAAAAAAACGCTGCCATAAAGCATATTCTGTCAATAAATAACATCAATCTTAAAAAATGGAGTAATTTTTCAAAATGAAATTTTGAGTTAAATGTATAATACTTAAAGTGAAATGTAGAATATATTACATTTTTCCGATTTCATTATTGAAAATTTTGAACGAGACTAAAAAATCTGATTTCTTATTATTTGGTAGTTTTCACCTAAGAAACCAATAGCAATGTAAAACTTCTACATTAATAGAAAAAATTAAAGGATAAAAAAAATTCCAATTTTTTTGCGATTTTTCGTTAAAAATATCGTATTGGAGCCGAAAAAAAAGCAATTTTAAGATTGAAGTTTCTAGTTTTGAGATTTTTAGATGAAAAACGTGCAACGCTCTTAACGAATACCATAATAAAAAAAAATGTTTGGCTTTATTTTTTGGTTCACGGAATGTTCTAAATTAACCACCAATAAATAAATGTTCTACAAGAATTTGCTATTGTTCTTTTAAAGAAAACAAATTTCCATACTCTACATGAATTTGAAAAATCATGGAAAAAAGTGCTTTTGGTACCTTTTTGGAAAATCAAGCGCTGAATCAAAAATATTATAGGTAGTTACGTTTTTTAGAACCAAATCAAAACAAGCGCCGCCCTTATTGGTCAATTCGGTGGTGGTGGCGCGTGCAAAGCGCATTTACTAAATGTCATTTAGTGGCTAATTTTAGTCCACGAACTGGACTGGAAACATAAAAAATAGGCAAATGGGACTAATCTTGAAAAAAAACCTAAAATATGGAAAAAACATTTGAAAAAAAAACCTGAAAAAAACAAAAAAAACGGACCGTTTTTTTTTCAAGTCGCATCTCTAATTCCAATGTTATTCCCCCGGTCATGGCATACTATTATTTATTTACCAAACTCGTTAAATGGAGATACTAACTTAAAGCAGTAAATTTTAATTTTAAATGTCAAACTGACAATTCGTTATATCCTAAAATTCATTATATTTAACTCGTGGTATGATTATCATCGCTGGAGCGATGATAATCATACCAATCATGTGACAATTTTTGTTCACCTTTGAATCAGAGCACTTTATTTGTCAATTTTTAACCAATCAAAAGTAATTGTTGCGGGTATTGGACTAGTACAAAAAGCCCTTCCGTGCGTAAAGAAGTTTCAGCATTAGAATAGTTATTTGTTTTACAAGTGTTGAAAAGCGACTTTTTCATGCGAGTGTTTAAGTTGTTTACGAGGCCGCTAGGCCGAGTGTGCATTAACACGAGCTTGAACAAAGCTTTTCTCACAAGTGAAACACAATGTTTTTTCTACGACCCTTTTATTTTTTATTAGGTATATTCAAATACAAAACAATATAACCTAAAAACAGCTGTTAAAATTACTTTCATCTTATTCTTTTAATTTTAAGGTAAAAAAGGCCCTAAAATTGAAATTTATAATACAAACACAATTAATTGTGTTCTAAATGATATTTAGACATACATATCCAGATACAATACAAATTTTGAAACGAATGTCAAACGATGCTGTCAATTTCTTTTTACACAGACCTGTCACTTTTCACACAGAAATGTCACTTTACATTCGTGTTTTGCCATGCCAATGAAAAGATTCATTTTCTAAGCAACGATGCCATTACGAAATGTGGCTTTTACATAGTGGTCGTAGAAAAAAATACTGGCACACTAAAACAATTGGGAAATGTTTTTAACGATTTAAAATTCGTAAAAATATTTTATTCCAAATTTTCATTATTAATATAAAAAGGAATTTTGTTAGGTAATTATTATTAAATTAAATGTACCTATTTTTAAATTGTTAAGAAATTCAAGAGAAAACTAATGCATTCGTTACCTGTCTCGTCATTTAGCTGCTGTTGTAACAGTGTAACCGACAGCAGAACGGTCAAGTGACATCTTTTATCGAACTTTTCCGCCGCCTTGCAAATTTTGTACTTTCTTGCATGGCCCTTGGGTTCGCGGACCAACTCGACATAGTCGGGCATTGCACCGAACAATTGACGTTGCGACGTTAACCTTTCGCGTGAACCCCCTTTAAATGCACTTTGTTTTGTTTCACTGCTATATTGGAACCACTGGATTTTATTTAAACTAGGTTGTTGTGTTTGTGGCACCAATAAATTGCGAAGTATTTGATCAATTCAATTGGATAGTATTTTTTCATGTTGCTTAGATACCGCAGCTTTATACCCACCAACAAACCAAAATTTAAAAAAATACTTAAACTCAAAAATATATTTTACTTCAAAGATGTATAGTAAAGAAAATAAATTTAAACAACTTCGCAACACTGTCAACGTCTATGATTAAAATTTTAATTAAAAAACCTTGCATTTTAAAATTGGTGCCATTTTTAAAATTAGCACTTTAAAATTTATTATAACACAAAACTGAATCTTCTTCATCAAGGCAACATATTCTCTCACTTTTTAATTAATTCAAAATCACGAAAAAATAACGAAAAAAAATCGCACTAAAATCAACACTTGCTCATCGAAAATTCGGCTCATTCGAACTGAAAATAATTCCGATCTTTATCTCAACGCATCGGAACCACTTGCTTATTAATAAAGCAATTTCGTTTAACACTTATTCAAGCAATAATCGCTTTAACAACTTGTGCATGATAAACAATTTGTTCAAAATCTAAAAGCGTGTAATTAATCTTGTACTCTGTCAATTTTTTTTATTAATGCTTGGTTGTCTGTAAGAAAATTTGCCGCTCACTTGATAAAATTTCGAGCTCAAGTTTATGTGTTTTCGTAATTTTTTGGACCATTTCCAGTGACGTTTACTTTTATTCGTGTATTTCGGGATGATTATTATTATTAAAGGTTATTACAATTCATAATTAACTCTGACAACATAGTGGTTTAATAATTATAATTGGAATGCCATTTTTATCATCTGTCAAAATTAAACAAAAATTAGTAAAATAAAAATGTTTTGACATTTCACTAAATGTCAAATGTCAAAATTAAGGTAGGTAGTATTTGGGTCATTCCAGGATTCCTACTCGGGGATTTTTGTCCCGCCCGTCACAATTAAAAATTGTGAGTAAAAATTACACGTTATAAAATTAATTTTTTCTACTCCCACCTTTAAAACGCCCTTTATCGTACATGTTTCCATGACACTAAGGCCCAGTTGTATAACAGTTGGTTAACAGCTGATTAGCTGATTAACTCTTAAATTTAATTTAATTTAATGTTTAGCGGTGCTCCGTGACAGACAAAGTGTACCACACTTAGATAATAACTAAGTGTAGTACACTTTGTCAGTAACGGAGCACCGCTAAACATTAAATTAAATTAAATTCAAGAGTTAATCAGCTAATCAGCTGTTAACCAACTGTTATACAACTGGGCCTAAGTGGCCTTTTAAATACACATTGACAAGTTGCGGCTTTACGGCGCTTTAGTCACGGGCTGAAGTTAGTTTTAAGTTAGTTGACAGTTGTCAAATGTCATACAATCATTAAAATAAAGTGCCTTTCTTGTAAAATAATACTAAATGTGAAAATTATTTTATTATCTCAATACAAAAATACAAAAATATTAAATAGTTTCTCAACGCCAATATTTGAAAAGTTTATATGAACATTGTACTGACCTTTTAATTTCGCCAGCAGTAAACTATAACTTAAATTCGGGCACAGACTCTACTGTAAAGTCCTCATAAAACATTTCCTTTACTTTCTCTGTGAAAAACTGTCAATTTTCAAGATACATTTCGATTTATACCCTTTATAATTGTGTTTATAAAATGTAAAAATGTGACATTTGACAGTTTCCCCTATTATTATCTTAAAATGATTTAAATCAAAAATTTTTATAGAGCGCCATCTATGAAACAATAGGGGAATCTGTGCGTCAAATGTCAAATTTTTATATTTTATAAACACAGATTATAAATCGAAATGTATTTCTTAAAATTTACAGTTTTTCACAATGAAAGTAAAGAAAATGTTTTATGAGCACTTTAAAGTGGTTATAGTTTACTATTTAATACTTTTGTATTTTTGTAATGATAATAAAATAATTTTTACATTTAGTATTATTTTACAAGAAAGGCACTATATTTTAACGACTGTATGACATTTGACAACTGTCAACTAACTTAAATTCTAACTTCAGCCCGTGACTAAAGCGCCATAAAACCACAACTTGTCAATGTATATTTAAAAGGTGTCATGGAAATATGTACGATAAAGGGCGTTTTAAAGGTAAGAGTATAAAAAATTTAATATATGATTTTGTGAGGCATCAGACACATTTACCAATAATTTCAGATTTTCAGCACAAGTTGTGGAATCTCCAAGAAAATAAGTTTTAAGTTATATTTGTTTTCATACGCAATTTTTTTTATTATATATCTCAGGGGTTGTCCCTAAATCTAAAAATGGTGAAATTGACCCATCCGTAAAGTGACCAGATTCTGTCAAAAACCAGGGGGACATTTTGTGTAAATTAATCTTAATTACAAAAATGTTTACTTTTCTTTACTAAATTGGCAGCGCTGAATTTTCTGTCATGGCCTACTGATACCTATTTATTTATCAAACTCTTCAAATCACAGAACATACACTTTAAATTGAGATATTACCCTCGATATTACCTACCTTATTATATTGTAAGGTCCTTAATTTCTTAGTAAATTTAGTTTACCAAAAAAACAAAATTTTATATCAAACATGTAAACAAACAACAACATTTTTCGCAATGTTTTTAAATTAGTGTCGGTGACATAGGTATTGTGTTGTTGTTTTTGTTTGAAATACCTTCTTTAGTTTATTCAAAAAATCAGTGTTTAATATTTAGTGGTAGAATAAAGTCAGTTTTCCATTTTATATTATTGAATGTAAAACGGTGATTTATTTAAAAGAATGAGAAGTTAGGTAACTATTTTATTGTTTTACCTAGGTATACCTAGTATATAACTATAGTTGAGAATACTGGTAACCTTCTTTTGTTGAGAAACGGTATTTGTTATTTTAGACATTAATTAACTTGAAAATTGCCTATTAATAGAAATAATCTCAAGTGATTCACTTTAAATTACAAAAATGTATTTAATTTAAATCAAACGAATTAAAATTATCATCTGGTTATCTTAATTTCGTTCCTTTGTTTTTAACGACACACTTAGGTATCTATATGAAAAAAAAAATTAAGTAAGGAAAACCGAAAGGTCATTGACGATTTTCTTTAAAAATAAACAAAAAAGACATAATGCCCTACTTAAAATAGATCTTTAATTACACCACATGACTGGGGGCAATAAACCGGCATTTTAAATATTCGACAGTCAAATTATGCATTAATTACCCCTGAATCTAATAAGAAAAACAAAAAATATAGAAATCAATTGTTATTACCTGGGACATGTTTGGCCGACTTCGATGTCATATTCAATAACACCCATTTAGCACCAAAATGATTTAACAGACATCCATTGCCGCACCATCACCGAAACGAAACAATTTTACCACTAAATTAACTCTTGCAACTTCTTTCATAATTCCGAAAATTAAATATTCACTAAAAATACTGAAAACAGATTTTGTTAACGAGAAACGCGGCTAGTGCTGTCATCTACAATGACATTTGACAAAGCGAGATCGATAACATGCCGATAAAGCAGATGCGCCGTTGCCAACTGCTCTTATTTATAAATTAACAAACAATCAAATATCTTTTAAACAAGTATATGTGAACATCTAACATTACTTAAATTTAAAAATGTACTTGCTAGCATAAATAAATAATAAATGGTATAAAAACCCGATAATAACAAATACAAAATATGACAATTTGCCAACAATGTTTTGATATTTACAAAAACATCAAAGTGACATATGACAGATTTTTGATTGTTTTTAGCAAGTTTTTACAATTATACGAATATTTATAACTGCGTTATGCAAAGGTAATACTACTTCATCATTTTATTATTATATTTTAACAATTTTCATTTATAGTTGATTAATTTATAAATAAATAACGGAAATATGGGCAACTCAGGATTAAAACAACATATTGAGACAGCACAGAAAACAGGCGTTTTAAAAGTATCGCAGGGAAAATTGAACGAGTTTCCTCCAGGATTTAAGCAACTTGAAGGATGTCTACGAACATTGGATTTGTCTGACAACAAGTTTGTAATACTTCCAAATGAAATAAGCAGGTTTATGCAGTTAAAGCATTTAAATTTAAGCAAAAACAAATTAGCTAAACTACCTGATTGCATTGGGGCTTTAACAAAGCTGGAATCTTTTAATGCAAGCCACAATAATTTGGGTTGTTTGCCGAGAACGCTGTCAAATTTAATCCACTTAAAGCAGGTAAATTTAAGTGATAACCACATCAAGGAGTTTCCTTTGGTGTTTTGCGGGTTAAAACATTTAGATGTGTTAGATTTATCACGGAATGAGATTGTTACCATTCCATATGAAGTCAATACTTTGAATGTGACTGAATTAATATTAAATCAAAATCAAATATCACAAATATCCCCTGAAATAGCAAACTGTCCAAGATTAAAGACATTAAGATTGGAAGAAAACTGCCTACAATTGAACTCTATTCATCCTAAAATATTATCGGAATCTAAAATATCAAACATCTCTGTAGACGGAAATTTGTTTGAATCAAAACAAATAGCAAATATAGATGGTTACGATGCCTATATGGAGCGATTTACTGCAGTTAAGAAAAAATTGTTTTAACTTGAATTCTTGCTACAGTTCCTACTATTTATTTGTAAAAACTTTTATGCTGACATATTTTGCTGCTATTTGTGATAAAATTGTTTTAATAAATCTATATTTTTAATATGAATTTATGACGTTTTTAAACTGGAATGAACTGTACAACTTTACTCTTGTCTATTCCAATTTAATTGTATCTGGTGCTTTCTGTCAATTCTACATGTATACTGTATAAATTGTTTTTTACTCACTAGATAGGTTTGCTAAAATCTAACAAATTTTTCGTGACTTTGAGGTTTAAAAATGATTAGTTTTTATACAGGGTGTCCCAAAAATGGCACAGTTCACAAATTTAAATTACAAAAAACATGATTTTTTTTGTTATTATGCATTGGTGTAAAAAAAGGAAACACTGTGTATCTAATAAGATGAAATAATCGTATAAAATGAATTCTAAGGTTGTTATACATAGTTCACAAATTGAGGACACCTTGTATAATGGGATAGATATATCTATACATATATGTAGTAAGTAAAACAAGTTTATAAATAGTCAACTTGGTGTTTATATTGAAATATTCACTATAAAATATGATTATTTAAGTTGTTTAAAGCGCAACATAAACTTTTTATTGAATATCAATTGAGGGCCGAAATAAAAGCAGTACCTATAAGCATAGAAAAAGGATTTTATCCAGAGTATTAAGTAATAAGAGGACAAAATATACTTTTTAATAAGTTTTTAACAGTAAAAATTTTTTGGTCCCTTTTTACTTAATGTTATAGATTATAGATTTTTGCTAACTTATGCACTTATACCACTTTTATGTTAATTAAGGCCCTTAATTGCATTTACCGTTCCCTATTCTGTGGGCACTTTTTTAACATACAGTTTAGTTTTTTTGTTGACAGCGTCAAAAATTTGGGGGTTTGGTTGGCAAATTCTAGGGACCCTAAATTTATAATTGGCTACATTAAGTAAAACAATTGTGGTTGTAATTTAATGAATTTATGCATCACAAATTAAATATTTCATCAAAATGTGGTTTTGTTTTTAGAATTTTTATGTATGTAATTTCCTCAAATTATATTATAACAAGAAATATATCTTATGAATCTTTGAATTCATTATTTAACTATTTTAAACGCGCGCGGAATTGTGCTCAGGCATACCAGATAAAGTATATCCCGTATGGTCTAAGGGTTAAATTTCTCTGAAGAATTTGCGTATTTTCAAATTCATAATTTTTGTTTAGCTTTGCAAACGGTTTGTATAAATTCTGATCAAAATTTGTGCCAGCTGTGTTTCAGGGTTGTCAAATGCCAAATTTACGTTTTTTCATTTTAACATATTGGTTTTATTGGTTTATTCTATTAAATTGTATATTGGAATGGCAAATGCAAGTGATAATCTGATTGTGTTATTTTGAAAAACACCAATATAAAACCTAAAATATTAACTGCTTTATAGCACTTTTTCACACTTTTTACAGGTTTGTATAGTATGGGTTTCCTACCTATAACATAGAAATCTATAATCTAGTCTTTGTTAGTGTATTACGTGTTTATTTTTACAAGCTTTCATAACATTTAAAATAAAATAAATCAATAGGTATATTGATTCCAAAGTTTTGAATGATCTTGGCAAAAATTGATTAACTATAAATATGCATGAGTGTCGTACAATTAGACAATCAAATAGTAGTTTGTGTTTAGTAAAATAGAATTTAATTATTTAAACGTGATTATAATTTGGCTATACAGGGTGATTTTACAGAAATGCGGCAAATATTGGGATATAATCTGGGTCATTTAAAAAAAAATTATGAACTTTATTAAAACGTGTAATATTTAAATTAAATTAAAAATTATTTCAAATCAATGGAGATTTAATTTTTAAACGATTTTTTTAAAGCAACACAAATCATTGTGCGTTGTTATGTTCAACGTAAAATAGGCCAAATAAATTATATCTTAAACTTTTTGCCATTTCTGTAGACTCCCTCTGTATATTTCAGGGTATGTCAGAATGTTTTTAAGAATATTAAAAGTTATATGTAAGGTTTTGCTAGCAATATGTGTATATCCTGTAAAGAAAAGACAAAAAAAATTGGGTCCAACTTTTTAGTTAATAAATCTATATATCTAGAGAACTGAACTTTTTGTTAACACTCTGTCAATGCTCAAATTTTAATAAGAACATGTTAAAAAGTCATTTTTACTATTTTAATTTTGTTTTTAATAGCATTTTTAAACTATTATTAATAATAAAACATTTTTTTTCAAGCGTAGGTATAAGAAGTTATTATACACCGGCGTACAAAAATAAAAATACATTAAATTACATAGGAAGAGTGGTTCGATCTATTGCATTTAGCTTGAAATCAGTCTAGGTAACTGTAAAATTACAGGTCACTGTAGAATAAATGTCAAACGTCAAAATTATTTACCTGTGACACAATGTCGCAAACTAAAGAATTATTAAACGTTTGAAAAAAAATATTATGTACAACACGACAGAGAAAGCATATTAACTGCCTAGCTCAGATCTGCAGCCTTGCCTAGCGCCTCGGCAGCGAACACCGAGCTCGGCTTTAAATTAGCGCTTTCTCCGCCTGTTATATAATGTAATATACCTAGTATATACATATATATAAATATATCTTACTTAGGTAAATCTGATCAAATTTGAGTAATGAAGTTTTAACTTGTTTTATGCTGCAAGAAATGAATTGTACATATCTGTATTAATTATTTATTATTATTATTATATTAATTATGTTTAGGACTGTACTTGTTATGTATATAATTGAATTTTCGCATTCTTTATTATGTATTACTAATTTAGAAACTACCTCAACTGATTTATCTATATAAATAGGTATAGAAAAAAAGAGTTGTCAACAAAATTTAAGCAGGCGCTGAATGGTTTTCAAAATCATAACATCAAAAAAACCTGTTTGTTAACGTTAAATTTTGTTGTATTCTCGAAAAAAAAAATAATTTTAAATGTGTAATCTTTTAAACGCTTTAAGATTGAAATTTACACTGAGCTTATTAATACCGTCTATAATGTTAAGCCATTTAAAATTTATATATTTTCAGTTTTAGTTTAAATGCATTTTTAATCTTATATAATTTATATGTATATAGGTACATATAAATTGCATAATGTACCTTTTTTACACCAGCGTTTTCCTTATTTAATAATAAAAAACATTTTTGTCATTTTAATTTTTAATCTGATCAATGTTATTTATTTCTACACATAGCTATAATTGTTGTTTAAAAATAACACCGTGTAAAATAAAAAATATGTATGTGTTTTTTGTGGTTTTATTTATTTTACACTGAAAATATGTAATAGTTATTATCATAGAAAAAGGATAACTATAATGGTGCAATGTATACATAGACCAACCTTCTTTATCTCTGACATAGACTATAGTTATTAATTTCGTAAGGCTGAAATTTTACTTCTTCCACTAGTGGTCTGAAGTTAGCTTTAAGTTAAATTTGAAAAAAGGTTAAAACTAATTGACAGCTGTCAGATTTCAGTTAAATTATCAAATAAAATTTATTGTGGTTGTTGTGGTCAAAAGAGGAGATTCCACTCGGGTGTTACCTCACTCGCTCCGCTCGTGCAGCAAACTCCACGCTTGAGAAGTGCCCCCTTTCTCCCACTAGTCGCAAAATAAACTATCTTTATTGGTCCAAACTGGTTTTTATAAAAACCAGTACAGGTTAGGAGGTAGGTAATGGTTATTTGTTTTACAAGTGTTAAAAATCTCCTCTATTGGCCAATAGTCCCACACAATATTTTTTTTAAGTACCTACCACAAGGAACTAAAAGCCAATTTTATTTGATATAAAATCTGACAGCTGGTAACCGGATTTAACCTCACTTTTTTCCAATTTCAACTTTCAATGCAACTTTAGCCCGTGGGCGAAGTAAAATTTTGCTCACGGGTGTTGAATGAACATGAACATATAGGTAACTTTAATTGACAGTTCAAATTTTAGAACGTACGCTTGGTGGTAAAAGCATTTTTTTTATTTCTTCATGCGTTTTCGTACCTATAAGGTATTAATAACCCGAATCAATAAGAGAAAGGCAGATGCTCTCGTAATTTAAATAATTTGGGTTCAATACCACGTTTATTTTGAATGTCTACCTTACATAACTACCTAGCTAGTCTGGTATAAATAGAATGTAAACATGGTTTAACATACCTATTTATTCACCAAAATATTGAAATCAGTGAAAGTTAAATCTCAGGGACAAATGTGTTTACTACCAATTCCTGTAATTTGCTTTTATTTACCAAAAATATACAGTTGTTTGGCACATTTAAAAATCCAATAAGAATAAGGAAATACAACAAAATTAAAATTTTTGACAGAAACACGTTAAAAACTGCTTGTATTTGAAAAGTTAAATTTCAACACGTATATAAAAAAAGGCGTGTGTCATTTGTTTTTGTTGTCTCAAGCTATTTTCCGTCTATTTATTACCCCCCCCTGCGTTTTATCGCGCCCCTCTCTCTCTCTTATCGAGGTGAACGTATTGAAAAGAGCACGCATGAGATGTGCTGGCGTGCGGAAAAAATAAATCGATACGTTTTGTTTATGGCAGACGAGTGAGTGGCGTGTTGCGCAAAAAGTTAATTCGGTAAAAATCCTCTCAAATTTGGTTATACGGAAATCATCTTCTGTTTGAATTAAAAGGTATGTATTTTATGTTACTATGAATATGCGGTGTCGATTCGGTTTTTACTTGGAGGCGAGAAATCCGACCCAGATGGTTTGTTTTGTTTACTTCTTTCGATCGGCTTCAACAAAGGTCTATAGAAGCTTTCAGTCAATGTAAATTGTTATGTCAATGATTGTTGTATATTCGGCTGGTTGTTTGTGTATTCAGGAAAGAGTATTTTTATCCAAAAATAGGTAGTTTTTTATTTATAGATATTGGATATAGGTATAACTTGGAAGTCACGTAGTTGTTTGATGACGTGCCCAAAATTTTATGCGAAAATTGATTTTCATATGAACTAATGTTGTTTTTTTAGTTTATTGCAGAGTATTGTTGAACTGGACCTTGAATAATATACTGACCATAAACTTTTGAGCATCTTCTTCAAGATGGCCTCAGGCAGAGGAGATTTGAAAATTGAAGTTGATAATGATATCGACATTGACAAAGTAGTTGATGAGGAACTTTCGGCCAAAGAGAACGCAACAGCTGGTGATAATCTGACCAAACGCAAACCCAAGAAGGTCCACAGACAAAACAGCAAGGAAAACGTCGTTTCCTCAAACTTTATTCAGGGCCCTCGCTCGTGGAAAAACAGTCGTAGATCAAGGAATGGTTATGGACGTGGACTCCCAAAAAAAGGGGGTGCTGGTGGCAAAGGAGTGTGGGGATTGCCTGGATCTGAGCTGTTGGAGACTTACGAAGATGTCAACGACCCTAACTTTGATAGTGAAAATATGAACAATGGTGACGTTGAACTTAAGGCTATTATACCTGATGTTTCTAATGAAGAAATCAAGAAAAAAATCGAACCCATCATTCTCGAGTATTTCGAGAACGGGGACACCCATGAAGCTTCCATTTCCATTGAGGACTGCATCACTCTCAACCACAGAGACGTTTTGGTGGAACAAGTGATCGAAATCGCTTTGGACCACAAACCGTCGCACAGAGAAATGACCTCAGTGCTGATCTCCGACTTATTCGGCCACGTAATCACCGAATACGACATAACCAAGGCATTCGAAAACTTGCTTTCAAACTTAAACGACTTAATTCTCGACGTTCCGGACGCACCCACAGTATTGGGCAACTTTATCGCGCGCGCCGTGGCCGACGATTGCATCCCGCCCAAATTCATAACCGCTACTAAAGAGAAAAGTGATAATAAAGACTTCCAGGAGGCGCTGATACACGCCGACACCCTGCTCTCCATGAAGCACGGTCTGGTGCGTCTGGACAACGTGTGGGGCGTGGGGGGCGCCTTGAGGCCCGTCAAGGCCCTCTCCCGGCAGATGGCGCTGCTCCTCCAGGAGTTCGTCTCCTCGAGCGACCTGGAGGAGGCCGGCAGATGCCTGCGTCTGCTCGAGGTGCCGCACTTCCACCACGAGCTGGTCTACGAGGCCATCGTGATGGCTCTGGAGGCCAACAACGCCGCCAAAGAGGAGGCGCTGTGCAACCTGCTGAAATCGCTGGCCACCGCGGTGCTGGTCACCCCTGATCAGATGGAGCGCGGCTTCCTGAGGGTGTTCGACGACCTCCCCGACATATCCATGGACGTGCCTCTGGCGTACATAATCCTGGACAGATTCGTCGATCGTTGCCACAAAGCGGGTTTCTTGACCGAGCAAATCATTCAGAAACTGCCGTCCAGAGGGCGCAAGCGTTTCGTGTCCGAAGGCGATCAGCAGTTCATCAAGAACTTCAAGCATTAAGAAACGATAATCTACTTACTTTGCTGGCCATAAGCCCACCACGTAGATTTTCTTAAACTAAACGCATTTGTATGTTTTGTTACAATTTCCTTAAGGTTTACACGCTAGGTGTAAAAAATATAACAATAAAACAGTGTTACTTTTTGTATATGTTCTATGGAAATAAAGATTATTTCAAGTTAGAGCTCTTTCCACTGATTTTTATTTTAATAACAAATGTTACATTAACTGCTTGAAAATTAAAAGTTAGTTTTGCATAAGCTGATCAACACCTTTAAAATTAACCTTTCTTTTTTGTTAATTTGAAGAACGAGGCAATTTTTAAAAATTTATGATAAAAAACATCAATTAACATTTTCTGCACAAAAATATAAATTTAAGTTATTTTAAAGCAAAGCTTTTAAAATGGATATGTGGAAATGATTATTGAAAATAATAAGAATTATAATTGAATGGATGATTAAAAAGAACTACTTAAAAAATTAATATGGTTTTGATGGTATACCAGTTATAAAACTGTTTTGTTAATCTTAAATAAATATTTTCAGGACATCCGCTTTAAATTTTATTAAATATTTTTTAATTAAAAATCATTTTAGTTTAAAATTTTCCTAACTAAAAGGTTTACATTTATAAATTTAATTTTTTTTTTACTACTATGTATTGAAAGACAAAATTTGACTTCTGTATTAAAAATATTATTTTCAATCAATTTTTGCAAAAATCATTTAAAAAAAATTCTCAATAAATTATTATTTGGATAGAATTGTGTAATCTTAAATAAATAATTTATAAAATTGTTTAGACTAAACTTTTTAGTATGTAAAAATAATATTGATACATTTAAAATAAAAACAAATAAAACATTTTCTACCAAAATAGTTTGTCATGTTTTTAGAACTCAAAACAATTGGTAATCAAAAAATATTTTAAATAAAAAATTAAACTGTAAAACATTAAGTTTAAAAATATTGTTTTTTAAAAATTGTAGTTTTAATATTTTGTGTAAAGAGTCGTTTAAATGATGATTATTTCCCTCATTATAATATGAACCAATCAAAAGCCTTAAATTTTCGAATAAATTTCGTTTAAATAAGCGATTTAATCACTAGAACTATTTAACAGCGATTAAATTTTAGCCTCCATATTGGATTTTTGTTTACGATTTTATGGTGTTATTTACAAGTTTTAACAAACATTTTTTAAAAGACAATAAAAAATAAGTTATCTAGTTTACGAAATATCAATTATTACCTACCTATTATTAATGGAATTTTCTTTAAAAAAATATTTATAAATTTTGACACATAGGTACGTCAGATTTTATGAATTGTCAAATAGTTTCCTTTAATTCGATAAATAATCTAGACGTATATATCACTCAACCTATAAATTTAATCTGTCAAACTATGCTCAGTAAGTTTTTTATTTGATTTTTCGACCGCTACCCGGTCTCGTGATTTTATTAAATTATTTTGCATTCAACATTTTCCAACAAAAACCAAACAAAAAACTACTGAGCCTAGTTTAACCGATTAAATTCATAGTTCTCGTGATATAATATATGAATAAATTTTTAATCCAAAAATTATCACTTTCAAATTTAAAACTGCCTCCGTCTGCTCGAAGTGCCGCACTTCCACCACGAGCTGGTCTACGAGGCCATCGTGATGGCTCTGGAGGCCAACAACGGCGCCAAAGAGGAGGCGCTGTGCAACCTGCTGAAATCGCTGGCCACCGCGGTGCTGGTCACCCCCGATCAGATGGAGCGCGGCTTCCTGAGGGTGTTCGACGACCTCCCCGACATATCCATGGACGTGCCTCTGGCGTACATAATCCTCGACAGATTCGTCGATCGTTGCCACAAAGCGGGTTTCTTGACCGAGCAAATCATTCAGAAACTGCCGTCCAGAGGGCGCAAGCGTTTCGTCTCCGAAGGCGATCAGCAATTCATCAAGAATTTCAAGCATTAAGAAACGATAATCTACCTACTTTGCTGGCCATAAGCCCACCACGTAGATTTTCTTAAACTAAACGCATTTGTATGTTTTGTTACAATTTCCTTAAGGTTTACACGCTAGGTGTAAAAAATATAACAATAAAACAGTGTTACTTTTTGTATATGTTCTATGGAAATAAAGATTATTTCAAGTTAGAGCTCTTTCCACTGATTTTTATTTTAATAACAAATGTTACATTAACTGCTTGAAAATTAAAAGTAAAAAATTAAAAGTAAAAGTTTTGCATAAGCTGATCAACACCTTTAAAATTAACCTTATTTTTTGCTAATTTGAAGAACGAGGCAATTTTTAGAAATTTAAGGTAAAAAATATCATCAACATTTTCTGCACAAAAATATAAATTTAAGTCATTTTAAAGCAAAGTTTTTAAAATGGATATGTGAAAATGATTATAGGTATAAAACGAATTATATAATGGAATGAATGATTATAAAGAACTACTTACTTATAAAATTAATATGGTTTTGATGGTACCAGTTATAAAACTGTTTTGTTAATCTTAAATAAATATTTTCAGGACATCCGCTTTAAATTTTATTAAATATTTTTTAATTAAAAATCATTTTAGTTTAAAATTTTCCTAACTAAAAGGTTTACATTTATAAATTTAATTTTTTTTTTACTACTATGTATTGAAAGACAAAATTTGACTTCTGTATTAAAAATATTATTTTCAATCAATTTTTGCAAAAATCATCATTTAAAAAAAATTCTCAATAAATTATTATTTGGCCAGAATTTTGTAATCTTAAATAAATATTTTATAAAATTGTTTAGACTAAATTTTTTAGTATTTAAAAATAGTATTGATACATTTAAAATAAAAACAAATAAAACATTTTCTACCAAAATAGTTTGTCATGTTTTTAAAACTCAAATCAATTGGTAATCAAAAAATATTTTAAATAAAAAATGCAACTGTAAAACATTAATTAATATTTTTAAACTTAAGTTAAAAATTGTAGTAGCGCGGCTTCCTGAGGGTGTTCGACGATCTCCCCGACATATCCATGGACGTGCCTCTGGCGTACATAATCCTGGACAGATTCGTCGATCGTTGCCACAAAGCGGGTTTCTTGACCGAGCAAATCATTCAGAAACTGCCGTCCAGAGGGCGCAAGCGTTTCGTCTCCGAAGGCGATCAGCAATTCATCAAAAATTTCAAGCATTAAGAAACAATAATCTACTTACTTTGCTGGCCATAAGCCCACCACGTAGATTTTCTTAAACTAAACGCATTTGTATGTTTTGTTACAATTTCCTTAAGGTTTACACGCTAGGTGTAAAAAATATAACAATAAAACAGTGTTACTTTTTGTATATGTTCTATGGAAATAAAGATTATTTCAAGTTAGGGCTCTTTCCACTGATTTTTATTTTAATAACAAATTTTACATTAACTGCTTGAAAATTAAAAGTTAGTTTTGCATAAGCTGATCAACACCTTTAAAATTAACCTTTTTTTTTGTTAATTTGAAGAACGAGGCAATTTTTAGAAATTCAAGGTAAAACACACTTTCTGTACAAAAATATAAATAAGTTATTTTAAAGCAAAGCTTTTAAAATGGATATGTGGAAATGATTATTGAACTACTTATAAAATTAATATGGTTTTGATGGTATACCAGTTATAAAACTTTTGTTAATCTTAAATAAATATTTTCAGGACATCCGTTTTAACATTTATTAAATATTTTTTTATTAAAAATCATTTTAGTTTAAAATTTTTCCAACTAAAATGTTTACATTTATAAATTTAATTTTTTTTTAATATTATTTATTGAAAGATGAAATTTGACTTTTGTATTAAAAATATTATTTTTAATTAATTTTTTGCAAAAATCATCATTAAAAAAAATATTCTCAATAAATTATTATTTGGGCAGAATTTTGTAAATCTTAAATAAATATTTTATAAAATTGTTTAGCTTAAATTTTTTAGTATTTAAAAATAGTATTGATACATTTAAAATAAAAACACATAAAACATTTTCTACCAAAATAGTTTGTCATGTTTTTAAAACTCAAAACAATTGGTAATCAAAAAATATTTTAAATAAAAAATGCAACTGTAAAACATTAACTTTAAAAATATTGTTTTTTAAAAATTGTAGTTTTAATTTTTTGTCCTATAAAATTATCGGTTTAAATTTGTAAAGAGTCATTTAAATGAGGAATGAATGTTTAATCCAAAAATTAACACTTTAAAATTTAAAACTGCCTCCGTCTTCTCGAGGTGCCGCACTTCCACCACGAGCTGGTCTACGAGGCCATCGTGATGGCTCTGGAGGCCAACAACGGCGCCAAAGAGGAGGCGCTGTGCAACCTGCTGAAATCGCTGGCCACCGCGGTGCTGGTCACCCCTGATCAGATGGAGCGCGGCTTCCTGAGGGTGTTCGACGACCTCCCCGACATATCCATGGACGTGCCTCTGGCGTACATAATCCTGGACAGATTCGTCGATCGTTGCCACAAAGCGGGTTTCTTGACCGAGCAAATCATTCAGAAACTGCCGTCCAGAGGGCGCAAGCGTTTCGTGTCCGAAGGCGATCAGCAATTCATCAAGAATTTCAAGCACTAAGAAACGATAATCTACTTACTTTGCTGGCCATAAGCCCACCACGTAGATTTTCTTAAACTAAACGCATTTGTATGTTTTGTTACAATTTCCTTAAGGTTTACACGCTAGGTGTAAAAAATATAACAATAAAACAGTGTTACTTTTTGTATATGTTCTATGGAAATAAAGATTATTTCAAGTTAGAGCTCTTTCCACTGATTTTTATTTTAATAACAAATGTTACATTAACTGCTTGAAAATTAAAAGTTAGTTTTGCATAAGCTGATCAACACCTTTAAAATTAACCTTTCTTTTTTGTTAATTTGAAGAACGAGGCAATTTTTAAAAATTTATGATAAAAAACATCAATTAACATTTTCTGCACAAAAATATAAATTTAAGTTATTCTAAAGCAAAGCTTTTAAAATGGATATGTGGAAATGATTATTGAAAATAATAAGAATTATAATTGAATGGATGATTAAAAAGAACTATAGTATACTTAAAAAATTAATATGGTTTTGATGGTACCAGTTATAAAACTGTTTTGTTAATCTTAAATAAATATTTTCAGGACATCCGCTTTAAATTTTATTAAATATTTTTTAATTAAAAATCATTTTAGTTTAAAATTTTCCTAACTAAAAGGTTTACATTTATA